TGACCTTTGTAATTACTACATTGAATCGGGGGTGCTTGAGGACATTCTTGCTGTTTATCCCAAATTTGCTAGCCCACACTGATTTGTCTTCAATTAGAATATGACGTCCAATGTATGTGATCCACTGACCTATATATACTGCAAATGAATATGATGTATTTCTTTCTATCTTTGTGTACGAACATCTGTCCTGCATGGCAGTGAACAGTGACATTACCCACATGAATCTGACATATATATATATATATATATATATATATATATATATATATATATATATATATATATATATATATATATATATATATATAGCTGTTAATGAATATGTTGTATTTCTTTGTGTATGAACCTCTGTCGTGCGTGGCAGTCAGAAGTGAGACCACCCTCAGTGTCAAAACCTGAGTGAATTACTCAGAATAAGCAAACTGTACTACAAGCTTTGCCAATAAATTTGTTAAACTAAAAACTAACGTGGTAGATATAGTAATTATTTCACATGCAATATATTTATCATATATTATACTGTACTTTTTCATAATAATTATAAGTATAATGCTAGGATTTGTTTGACTTAAATCATCCTGAATACATACTGCACAAGTGGGGATATTAGAAGAAGATTGTTTTCTTTACATTTATTATACAATTTGACAGATATTCAGATGCATTCAGTATGTGACTTTGATTACATAGGAAAATTATTTCTGACACATTAATATTTAGTCCAGCCACCTTCATTCTCGATTACTTGCTGCAGCCTGTTGGGAACGGAGGCGACGTGATTGTGTATCAGTTGCGGTGTCCGCCTCAGGACCTCCCACTCACGGTGTGTATGCTCCTGCAGCTGCACCCTGGTTCTCTCTTCAGCTGGCTCCCACACGTTCACAATATTGCCCCAAACATTCTCTATAGGGTTCATGTCACAACCTTTACTTGGCCAGTCTAAAACTTGCACATTTCTTTGTTCCGCAAACCACCGCGTTGCAATCCGTGCGGTATGGATAGGACACCTATCGTGCATGAAAATGATGTTTTCGGGAAACGGGAAAGCATATGCACGCACCGAGAGAAGCATAACTTCTTCGAGTATTTCTAAATACTGTTCAGCTGTGAATCTTCCTTTTATGTCAGTCAGCTCTCCAACTCCGTGCAAATATATCCATCCCCAAACATTGCAAGTCACATGGCCACTCGCTGCTTCCCCATAAATATGCTGTCTAGCATATCGGGTGTTGTTTCTCCTCCAGCAATGCAACCTTCCGTGAGAGGTGGATGAGAAAGTTTTTTCGTCAGTGAATATTACTCTTCCCCAAAAATCTAAGCCTTCTTCAGCATACCGTCGAGCAAACTGCAACCTGCCCTCGCGATGTCGCTCATTTAACTTCTCCTTGGTGGCGGGAGTTCTATGGTGAATGCCTCCTTCGTGAAGTCTTCGACTGATTGTTAAAGGGGAAATATTTAATTGTTGATCCTCTCTTATTGAAAATGAAGTCTTGGAGGGCTTGGCCTCAGCGAAATTCCGGATGGCTTCAACTTGTGCAAGTGTTGTTCTGCGCGGCATTCCCGTCCTGTGGTGGTCCTTTAAACTTCCCATCGCTTAATCCAATAATATACAATTGACCGAGAAAAAACCAATTCTCGTGCAATTTCAGTGGGTGAAAACCCAGCCTCATTCATGCCGATTATTCTTCCACGTTCAGTGATTTTCTGCGTGTGATATTCCATGTTGGCAGGGTCCTTCTACAATTTAGGGAGTGGAAGGGTAGTCAGCACTGACAACACCTGTCTCCCCCACTTTCCCGCCAATAACGTCAGCGTTATATTTATATTTATTATGCATTTATAAAAAATAAACGAATAAGTAAATCAATAAGATACAAATTTATAATAGCCTACATCATACACATTTTTGGAAAAAAATTACTATTTTTTTTAAAGACACCAGACTAAACGTGACGTAATCGACACAAGTCAGAAACACGGATTTAGGGGGGGGGGGGGCTGCTTACAATATGCATAGTCTTGGAATGACAATGATGTTGCTAGATAATTTCTTGTAAAAGTATTAGGCATATGCTACAGTACTAATTCACACCATCAGACAGATGGTTCGTAAGATTAATTACCATCACCATCAATTGAACAACGTCATTATTAAATACAGATACAGACTGACACACTGACACACACACACACGCCACATGCGCGCACACACACACACACTCCACATGCACACACGCACACACAGGTAAGTAAAACAGCAGTTTGTGTTGCAAGAAATCAGCGTCTTTAGAAAGAAGTTTTGTTTAGCATCGGTTTAGTACAACTGGATTAATTACCCAAAAAGGGATTAAACGTTTGAAGACAATATTAGTATAAATTAATGATAAACAGGCAACCTCATAAACAGCCTGCACACAGCTGTGCCCGATGCATGAGGATCTATAACATACTTACCGATTTTTACTTATGTTTATTTATCTAAATATAAATTCACATAGGTTGGCTCATTGCTCTATCCATTTTAAAATCAAATTAACAGTATATACTAGCAGAAAGGCATAATATAATGCGAAACAACAAAGCCCAACCATTAATTAAGCAATGGGGAACTAAGTAACCAAACACCGATCACTTTTACATTCATTCATAATATTTACTAGGTAGTATAGTAAACAAACGGCCTTGAGTTGCTAGCTGTCTCCAGTAGTGTTCGAAGAATCTTGAACATGAGTGTACAATGTACATGTTATGGTGAATCAGCCCTTACTGTATTTCTTGTTATTGTTACTTTATATAATAAAGTGCATTATTACATTCTTGTTTACCTTTATACCTCTACAATCCGACAATAGTGATCTTGTAAGAAATGTGTTTAACCATGAAAAAAATACTTGAGAGCGTAATTTCAGTCATTTGGGAATAAAAGACGTTTTACAAATAATAATGAGGTTAGGTTTTTTCGTGGATGAATAAATGAAGTATAAATAAATATAAATTTATTGTTTAGGAAACTGAGCAATCAAGAAGGCAAATGTCTAAGTTCCTTTACTTTAACTTTTACTTTTATTTTAATCTCAAAATTTAAATAATTTCTTTACCTGTGTGTGTGGGGAGGGGGGGGGGGTTCTGGTTGAAATGATTTAGTTATAATACCTTGTAAAACTCATGCCCAATTACGTAACAAGTGACAATATGTTTGTATTATAAACTTTTCTTGTTAGTTTTTACTGTAGGTTTAGTTATTACAACAATACCAATTGAATAGTTGATACCACACTCATGGTTGATATGACAGTACCCAACACAGCATAAGTAATAGGACGTGGAAAATATGCAAGTGGTTTTTAAATACTATATTTAACCTAAATAACACAAAAAACATATATACAAGGGTGAAAAATAATGTAGTCAGCTGTACTAATGCACGTTACAACTAGATGGCCAGTAGATCCCTTGTGCACAGGTTAGTGCCGGAACAGTAGATCACTCCACGACAGAGCAACAGGATAGAACAAGAACCGATGGTGATGAGAACTGAACTGACTGGGTCTGGGTGCCCAGAAGAGACATCACCTGCCCGGCAAGGTTTTCCACCACTCAGGAACCAACTCCTGTCTCTTTGTTTTTCTCATTGGCCTGTTGGTAACGAGTGGTTTGGTGGTTGTGGAGTAAGCCGTGCAGAGAGAGGTGAGGGTGTGGTGTATTTACAGGGAAGTGTGACCCTTTATGTTACAATGTAAATACCAGATTATAAATACGTCAAAGTTAGTATAGTTAACCAACTATAAGGCATCTTTAGTTTTCTATGAATACTGCCTTACTTATGTCGGACAAAACTTGATGGCAACTTAAAGGGAGTTGAGCTTCCTCCCTCTACCTTCCTTGCTAATGCCTAGAAGGGGTGCTCCATTCGCTCTGAGTTAACCTCTCATTCACGCCACGTCGATTAGATATATGGATATGAAATATGGATTAGAAATATGCCCTCTGGTGGTGAGCTCAGACATTCCCACTCATACAACAGGGGGCAACACTCACTCACAACAACTTTACCGACGAAGAAGCGTAATAATCATTCACACTTTCACGCTGCATAAAAAAATTATGAATTAACATTGCCATATTATTCGTACACGATACCGGAGCCCCTCTGAACTGGTGGTCTTTCTGTACAGTAGATAACTTAATCTCTTTGTATTAACCCCTTAATTTTTATATAAATATGAGATAGTACATTAATTTTATATAAACTCCATCACCCCCTGTAACTTTCCACTGGCTATGAGGTACATGTTTCAAAGCACGTGATAAGGTGTGCCCACGGGAAGTCGCGTCACTTGGTGGTGAGCTAAGGATTAAGTTACCGGCTCTCTGGCCACCTACTGCGGGCAGTAATTTGATATCACTCACTAGAAGAAGACGTGATTTAGAGTCATCGTTCAGGTGACCCGTCTTCCTCGAGGGAGGACGTCGGATATATTTTCGTTGTCCCTCGATAAGTCTCTACTCATTCTCATTCAAACTCTCACATCGACAGGACGTACTTAGCAGAACAATTTAAGATAGCCTCTGTCCTCATTTAACACTCATAGCTACAGTGATTATGTTACGGTGATAACCCTTTTTGAAAGTGTACATAGAACTCTTTTTATGATAAACAAACAAAAGGAACATATTGGATTTCACTGCAGAAGATCCAATAAACTTTTAACTATATTTTAGTACGTCTAGAATATATGGTTACGTGCTTCACAAGTGATTGTTACAAGTGGTGACAACCCAGGAAGGGTGTTACATATATGACAGCTTCACAAGTAGCTGAACAGTTACCTCAACAGATACACAGTTGGTAAAGGTAGATATATTATGTCCTCCCCAGTACTGTGTTATACTGTTACATTGTGTCTAAGAAGCAAATCGTTACATCTTCACTTTATCCTGTTTATCCTCCTTTCTCACACTGCATAACCCTCTTCTTCTTCCTTCCTCTGCAACAGTTGGTACCACCTGTGCTTCACCTATGACCACCAGAAGCACCTATACAACACCTTCGTGGATGGGGAGGTCGTCTACGAGCTGAACTACAACGTGGGCCGCCAGATCTATGGTGACCGCGCCCGTATCGGCCAGGGAGGTCCTCTCTACCAGAGCTTCAGTGGTGCTCTGTCTCAGGTGAAGCCTTCTCTACCGTCTGGTACACTCACCGTGTTGTGTATACTGTAAAATTTTTTCTCTGAGTCTTGTGATGCAATCTTAAGATTTGTATCCATTATGATAATTAAGACTGAATGCAAATGTTTGTCCATTAATATGTGGTTGACAATGATTAAACAAGTCTTGAGTAGGAATCTAGGTTGCTGACCTACAACTGATATTAATACGAAAGTCATTACTGAGACCCCCTCAAGTAATTTTCTAACGTACACGTGTGCAGGTGAACGTATGGGACTATGTGGTGGCTGCGGAAACAATTGCTGATATGGCAGCCTGCAGGAGCGACGTTCAGGGTAACTTCATCTCGTGGCAGGCTGGCTGGATACTCTCCAACTTCACGGAGTATGATGTTCCTCTGGAGCATTTCTGCAAGCAGACGAAAGATGCCATCTACTTTGGGTTCCCTTCCCTGTCAAAAGATGAGGCATTTTACATATGTGAGGCTCTTGGCTCCCACCTGCCTCTGCCTACTACCGTGCCTGAGGCATTCTCCTGGACCAACATCTCCAAACGTATCTGGCCGGATTGGTTCGTTATAGGAGGCTGCAACGGCTTCTTCTGGAGCTCCATAAATGACCTACGTGATGAGGGCATTTGGGTCACTCACTTCGACAACGCCCCTGTTACAAACATACCCTGGAAAGATGGGGAGCCGAACGGCCTGTTCTACGAGAACTGCGCCTTCGTGGAAACTGAAGGTATAGCAGACATTGACTGCCTCACCAACAGAAAGTGTGCTGTGTGCGAGTTCTCAGACCTGCAAATTTTTTCCTTTCTGGGCACCTGTGAGCTACAGTTACGCAACATTCACCTTATTGCTTATCAGGAAGATCTTGGAGAGCTTCACTTTAAGGGGTACGGCGAGTATCTCATTCATAAGGTGGGGGAAGAATGGCTGTGGATCAACGTAGTGCACAATAAGACTATGGCCAGACTAGATCCAAGTGCGCCATTTAACATGCCAATGGGGCGTCGTGTGTGGCAGCTTGAGACTACAGTTTGTGACCAGTCACAAGGTGCAAGGACTTTGCTCCTAACGACGTGTCAGTCAGACAGTTACACTTGTGATGATGCAACATGTATCCCACTCGAGAATCGCTGTGATCAAAAATATGACTGTTTAGATAGAAGCGATGAAGTTGACTGTGAACTGGTCAGTATGCCTAAAGACTACAAGATGAATCTGCCGCCACGGCTTGGAAATGACAAAGACGCCGCGAGCTTACCAGTTGCTTTCAAGATCAGCATTGAGTCCGCAACTATCCATACAACACAGATGACTATGCAGCTGTCATATGAGATACAGATGTTTTGGCTCGACAACCGCCTTACATTCCGTAACCTAAAGGTGAACGACAGCCTCAACAAGGTACCTTACACGAGGATGATGAGTATGTGGTGGCCTACTGTCGGATTTGTCAACACGGAAGGGCATCAACATACGACAGTCGACTTAGAGTCAACGTTGAACCTCCTGCGTGAGCGATCACCTGAGCGGAGGGCTAACAATGTGCCGGGTGAAGGTGAGACTTTCTCTGTGGGTCCACACAACACTTTCGTCCTCCCTTACTCTTCTTTCTGCATTAACCATACTTACATCACGTCTGTCATGTTAATATAAACTGCTCTTAAAGGTTACGGAAAAAAAGAGAAAGTAAGAACTAATTTATAGACCTTGTTTACCAATTTAATGTAATAAGAGGTCAATTGAAGAGTGGTTTTCTTGACAAAACACTTGTCCTTCTCCAGTACAGCAAAAATAACTAAGTTTAACACAGCTAGAATATGAGGTTTTTGTTAAAGACAACACATCGGTGACACGTCTCCTTTATTACCCACAGTGGACCTCTTCCTGGGCAAGGATAACTCCATCCGGCTTACCAGGAAGTACAGCACCATCTTCGTCTGTGACTTCAACTTAATGCTGTATCCATTTGATATTCAGCACTGTGACATGCACCTCAGGATGCTCTCAGGCCCCAAGAACTACCTCATGGTCGATGACGCAGTCTCCTCCGCCAATTACTACGGCAGCAAGCTGCTTCTCGAGTACCAGGTTTGTCTCTCTCTTTCATACAACGCCAATAACTGCACCCGGATCCCACTAGTGATGTTAAACAGCTAAGTAGGTTAGTTATGTTGAGGTTAGTTCAGCTTTGGGCAGGTTGTATCAAGGGTAGGTTAAGTTAGGTTAGGTTAGGTTATGAGTAGGCTAGGTTAAGATACTTTAACTCATTAGGTATGATGATTAAACCTCGTCTATACGATATTACCGAAATTAGAGATAATTTGACGTACTCAAATTTGTAATCAAGAGATTAACATTGCTGAGACTGGTGTTGTTGTCTCGTCAGCTGGAGCAGCCCCAGCTGGTGTACGACAACAGTGGGGAGTTTAGCGAAATAAGGGTGAAGATCACACTCCAGCGACGCTCAGGTTACGCCGTTCTTAATATTTACACACCATCCATGATCCTCCTCATTATCAGCTACGTGAGCCTATTCTTCCGCTCAGAGATCTTCGAAGTTCGGATCATGACTACACTGACGTCGCTACTTGTGTTGGCTACACTGTTTACCCAAGTGAGTAAGGGGTACCTGTTGGCTGTGGGTTACTGGTGTCATTTTAAACTTACTACCCCCTCGTGGCTTACATCTGTCACTTGAGTCTTCTTTTCTTTGCCTTTATTTTTTGGTTAATTTTTCAATATTCCTACTAATAATCTTTTTTCTTAATGGTTTTTCTGTTTCTCTGCTGTTCATCTTATTCTCCTCTTCTCTATCCTCTTCCTCCTTGGTTATTACTTCCTCTTGCTCCAAGGTTTTTGTACTTTCTTGCTCTTGCAATAATTCTATTTCCTTACCTAAAGCCAGGGTTGTTTGAAAAAAAGAAGATTTATTTGATTTAGTTTTTGTTTTGAATTTTCAATAAAAATTTAAGAAATTTAAAAAATATTTTATTCTCTTGTTGAATGACGACTGTTCCCAGTCTCCTTCTTCCAATGGACTAGTTCATTCATAACTAAGGAACTGCCTTGGTACAGAACCAGCAGCAAAACTTGTCTTTTTATTTCAAGTCATGGTTACGAAGATAATTAAGTCATAACGTCTTGTTTGTAATGTGCGATGTAGGAAAGACTAAAAGACATTAGAATTTGATTTGTATAATTACTAAATGTCATGTTGCATCCGAAAATATGAATTAGTTGGTTTTGTTTTGCTCTGAAAAATGCCTATAATAAGTTATTAGTTCCTTTAATACTTAACTTTAACCAGTAAATGTTTGGAAGTAGAAGACAATACAGTAATGCATGTAAGGTAACCAAAGTGATGTTACCTATCTTAAACTTATTTTTGTTGTGTAGTTACAAAATCAATTTTGAAATTTCTGTTGTGGGAACACTGAATAGTGAATATTACGGAAGAGATGGTTTTTTTCTCTTCAATTATATAGGATACTGATATTATAGACATAAGATACTTTGTTTCTTTGGCTGATTAGTTTATAACAATATTGTACTGTACAGCATATGAGTAATTGTTTAATTTTTCTGCCTTCCTTTTACATTCACCATATAAAAACCAAACTGTGATTTAAATCATTATTTAAAAAAAATATATTTTGATTTAAATTAAACAGCCCGGCTATGTGAGTAAACACATCACAAAGAGTTCTCACCTTCTCACACCTCCAACTCTACACCCCCTTTTGTCTCTCTCTCTACACCTTCTCACACCTCCAACTCTACACCCCCTTTAGTTTCTCTCTCTACACATCCTCAACACCACACCCCTATTGTCTCTCTCTTCCTTCACTTCTCACACCTCCCCAACACTATACCACCTTCTCTCTCCTTACACCTTCTCAGACCTCCCCAACACACACACCCTTATCTCTCCCTACTACACCTCATTTCCTCTAACACACACCTCCTTTTACTCCCTACACCCCCACACCTCCCTCAACACTACACCATTTCTACATATCCATCCATCCCACCAGGTCTCCGCGTCACTGCCCAAAACCTCGTATTTCAAGATGGTGGACGTGTGGCTTCTCTTCTGCATCATCATAGGGTTCATAATCATTATTTTCCACACCATCATCGACTACTCCCTCAAGAAACACCATAGTGGGGATAGGGTGTCACCATTCCCAGCACCCGTTAAGGGCCTGCACATCCCCATCACTGACCGCCATGTTACCCAAACTTCCATTAACGCTTTCTTGAAATACTTGGGTTTTGGAAAATCTATTGAAGGCCTCATCGTCATTTCTCGCTTAAATATCCTCGCGATCTTTACCTTCTTCAATTTGATCTATTGGTCGTATATATTTAGTTAACTTTTGTTGGCTTTGATCTCAGTAATAGATCTTCGCCTACAATGAGTTGACTTTGACCTCAGTAATAGATCTTCACCTATAATGAGTTGAATTTTATAATAGATCTTCACCTACAATGAGTTGAATTTGTAATAGATCTTCACCTATAATGAGTTAACTTTGACCTCAGTAATAGATCTTCACCTATAATGAGTTGACTTTGACCTCAGTAATAGATCTTCACCTATAATGAGTTGAATTTTATAATAGATCTTCACCTACAATGAGTTGAATTTGTAATAGATCTTCACCTATAATGAGTTAACTTTGACCTCAGTAATAGATCTTCACCTATAATGAGTTGACTTTGACCTCAGTAATAGATCTTCACCTACAATGAGTTGAATTTTATAATAGATCTTCACCTACAATGAGTTGAATTTGTAATAGATCTTCACCTATAATAATGAGTTGACCTTGACCTCAGTAATAGATCTTCACCTATAATGAGTTGATTTTTACCTCAGTAATAGATCTTCACCTACAATGAGTTGACTATGACCTGAGTGGGATTCAGCTACCAAAAATTAGTTGCATCTGAATTAATTCCGTTGTTTTGAGGTACGAAACTTTACAAATCCTTATGGCTACAAGTCTCTGGGGAATATGAATTTAAAAAACTTAATGTAACCCTTGGATAGGTTTGACTTAGCTGGTATCACCTGTAACGTAAATTATGTTTCAGTGTTTCATGATGGTCTTCTTTAACAATATACCTACAGCAACACTCCAGGTCGCCAACTTTACGTGGTCCTTACAGCTATAGTCTGTTGGCAAGCTTTTTATTGTTCCACTGATTTTATTTTTTTTTATTGGGCACTCCCCTACATCTTTGCGTAAGGTGAAGCGCAGAAGCGTTTACAGCGCCCAACAGGGAAGCATGCTAAGTTCATGCTTGCCTTTATGTCTCATGAGTTAGGGTGTAGAAACCTGAAGAGTCAAGGGCGTAGAAGCCTGAAGAGTCAGTGGATTATGTCATCAAGTTATTGGAAGCTCCAACAACTCCCTGAATACGAATTCGCAACTTTCGACTTACAACAGGTACCTACTTTACTGCAAGGTGAATAGGGACTAATGGGGGCTAAGAAGTAAGTCCAAACAACTTCCACCGGCCCGGGAATCGAACCCGTGACATCTTACTTGCGAGGCAAGAACGGTACCGCTTCTACCACCGGTCTCCCTTCCACTGATATTATTTCACTGGTTATAATGAGTTTCTTTTGTTATATACTTTTTATTACTGTATAATGAATCATACGATTCATATTGAAATCCACGTTATGATAGTAAGATCACACTGGTATAACAATAGTATTTTGTTATTATTTTACATGTTTTATTATTATTATTATTATTATTATTATTATTATTATTATTATTATTATTATTATTAATATTATTATTATAATAATAATAATAATAATAATAATAATAATAATAATAATAATGATAATAATAATAATGATAATGATAATGATAATGATAATGATAATGATAATAATAATAATAATAATAATAATAATAATAATAATTATTATTATTATTATTATTATTATTATTATCATTATCATTATGATTATCATTATCATTATCATTATTATCGTTATTATTATTTTATTATTATTAGTATTATTATTATTATTATTATTATTATTATTATTATTATTACTGGTGCAAATCACTGAAATATATCATGTAACACAGTCCAGAAATCAATTATTATTAACTCTGTAATTTATGTCTAAATATTGTATAAAATAAAAATTACACCACAATAAACATGATACAATATGTGTAATAGGCAGATAAATTAATTAAATGTGCAACAGATAACAGTTTAGTTTTGTAGCCCCAGTTGTTGGTGTTTGATAACGTACAGTCAGACAGTCAACAATGATGTACAAACAATGAAGCAAATATTGAATCATAGAATAAATAAAATAAATATATTCAACTTTGCTCCGGGTTGTGGCCGAGGATAAATATGGATGACCTTTAGAGAGAATGGGTTTTCAACTGAGACTTAATGGTAAGATGGCCAGGGTACATTATTCAAAGTACCGGTCAAATATCAGTTTCCATACTTACAATAGTATTTAAACAATAGCAAGTTCTTTCAACTGTTATGCGATAACTTATCAATTTGAATTACATTAAAGATTAATATACTGAGGGCACATAATGGCACAACATAAACAAAAACAAAAAGGCAACTCAGCACATCAAAGTCCTAGGTTCAATCACAGCCCTCTCTTTATTCCAACAGTTCAGGAGTGAAGGTTTGGAATTATATGCATTACAAAAGATTTAAATAAAATTTAATATCGAAAAATTTACCATAAAAAGTGTGTAGGTTCCACCATGAACAGATAAATTTAATCAAGAGAATAAATCAACATAATCCTGAGTTAAACACTAATATATGCACAGTAAATAAACAATAAACTACTTTGTAATATCACCATTGATTGCACTTTACACCCATAAATAATACTAGAGCAGCACTGAATAGTTAATACTCAACTAAACACGATTTGAAAAGGTATCCACCACTGACAAATTCAAACGTCCTTCCACCTCCAAGGCCAGCCAATAACTGGTATTGCTCCATACTCCAGGGAACTACAAACCTAAAACTAATATTAATCAACTCCATTAAGCTGCAAAAAAACCTATATACATAGAGAAAAATATTTTATGTATCAAAAACCAGCCCTGCTCACACATCATTATTCAAAATTGATTTAAATTGGGGGTAACATGTCGAAAAAATATTTCACTATGCACAGCGCAATGCACCGCTGTACATTACGCCATGCATAACACCCCCCCCTACTTAAAATAAAACGTGTAGGGTTTTACATTGGCAACCAGTTATCAGATTTGCCTAATGTGGCCGAGACAGGGAATCAGCAATAATGTTATCCTTACCCTTGATATGTCTATTTTCAATATCATATGGTTGAAGAGCCAAACACCAGTTAGTTAAAGGTTGGAAAGTTAAATGGGCGTTACACATACCAAATGGCATAACTGTATACTGATACAAGCAATAAGGGGTAACAAATGCCAATATGCGTCTCGCCCTCATTGACAAGGGTACCTGAACACAAGGGGATGCCCGCCCACTGTCACTATAGGTTCAGCCAAATTATTGTCAATCAAAAACTGCACCTCATCATTCAGAATGCCAATTTTCTGGGAAGACACACGGTAGGGCACTTGTTTCACCGGGGCTACGTCGTCCACCAACACAACACCATGGGTCACCACTGAGCTAGGCTGCGGCACATCACCAAAGATGGGCTGGAATTCCTGGAGATACATTACATCGCTCCTCTGGTCCTGTAGTAGATGGCACAATTT